GCAACCAAGGTCCAAGACTCTTGCTGTTGTATCGTAGGGTAGTGCCAACACTGCCTTCTTTTGAGGCTAGCAGGGTTGGCTGCTGGCCACGGACCCCTGACAAGCGAGATCAGTGTGACCTTGCGGCGAATCCTTTTTGCTTCTCAAGCTTATTTTGTCGTCAACGAACACAGTACATTGCAAATGTAACCATCCTATCGCCAGCATGTCGTCGCAGCCTTCACCTATGCTGCCGCGGCTTCCTAGTGAGCCGCCAGAGACCCGGGAACCCCCCAGGCTTAGCGGTGCGCTATCTTCGCCCTCGCTGGCCCCCTCGGCCACTGCGAAAAGGCGCTACTCCAAAGTCTGGCAATACACACCTGTTGCCGCCCATGAGGTAACACTCAATGGTAAAGGAAAGTCAATATGGCGCTGCAAGTATTGCAAGAAGGAGTATCTCGAGTCAGGCGGAACAACTATTATAGCAGGACACCTGAGAGACCAGCATAACATCGACATATCTTCTACTCAAGAAGCTCGAACTGCATTGATGCAAGCCACCATCATCGACGCCTTCGAGAAAGCTCAGCAGACGACAACATTTAAACGCCGCTGCCTCTCCCTGACTACAAGCCACGATCTAGACCCCGCCGTAATTGAACAATTATACGTCCAGTGGATCACAACCTGTAGCGTCTCGTTTCGCATGGTCGGCCAAGCAGAATTCAGGGCCCTTCTTTGCTACCTGAATCCAGAGGTTGACACCTGGTTGCCGAATTCCCCTTCCACCATACGCACTTGGATTTTACGGACGTACGAGACTCAGAAACTCCGAATCAAATCGGAGGTCCAGTCGGCTCTGTCGAAAATAGACTTTACGGTGGACCTCTGGACTTCCCCCAACTCCCTTGCGATTCTTGGCATCGTTGCGCACTACATATCCGAATCTGGCCAACTAGAGCACGCTGTTTTGGCTTTGCGAGAGCTCGATGGCAAGCACTCGGGCGTCAACATGGCAGATTGCGTCATGGATGTTATCAGTGACTACGGTATTGCCTCAGAGATAGGCTATTTCGTGATGGATAATGCGGACAACAATAGCACAATGATGAGATCCCTTTCTACGTGTACGTGCTGCATAGCTGGCTGCATGATCTAAGCCGAGCGCTCCCCTTTCTTTGAACACTGGACGGATACTGATCAGCTTGCGAACAGTGCTGCTTGACCAGTACCAAACAAGCTATGACGCCGAGCACCACCGCCTTCGTTGCAATGGCCATATCATTAATCTAGCTGCTCAGTCCTTCCTTTTTGGTGCGAACGAGGAACCGCCCGGAGACGAGGACGACATCTTTAGCCTGCCAACACCCACGGAGCTCGAGACGGAACATTGGCGACGCAGAGGAGCCCTCGGAAAACTTCATAATATTGTGGTCTATATTCAACGAAGTCCGCAGCGCTTGGCTCAGTTTAGAGAACTCAGCGGGGGCCGTAACCTGGTGCGCGATAACTCTACGCGCTGGAACTCCTGGTATGCGATGATTCGTACGGCAATAAAGCTCAAGACAGCCACCAACCTCTTCTGCCACCAATATCAGGAGGACAGCGACGACCTACTTTTAGAAAGAGATTGGCAGGATTTACAGAAGCTCAATGGCTTCCTGTTGTACTTTTATGATGCTACAACAAGTACGGAAGGCCGTAACGCAGCCATTGACCGGGTATTACCGACGATGGACTTCGTTCTGGAACAGTTCGAGACAGCGAAGGAGACGTACGCCAATGACTCGTTTATGAGCCGTTGCTGTAACTTTGGCTGGGCCAAGCTGGATAAATATTACAGCTTGACGGATAGATCGCCGGTCTACATTGCGGCGCTAGTACTCTCCCCGCAGTGGAAATGGGATTATATCGACAACAACTGGCCTGCAGACTGGCGAGGACCTTGTCGGCAGCAAATGCAGGATTTCTGGGTGACGGAGTATAAATCTACTGCCATTACGGTACCAACTCAGGCATCGGAGACGACTAGCGAGGTCAAGAACTCCTTTCATCAGTGGGCGCAGCGAAAGAAAGGGAACAGCCTTGATCAGGACGAGTACACAAAGTACCTTCTTGCTCCTATAGTACCGGAAGTCACAGATCCACGATCCTGGTGGCTTGAACCGACGCAGAGGAAGTCCTACCCAGCCTTATCTGCTATGGCATTGGACGTATTGTCTATTCCAGCAATGTCGGCGGAGCCACAACGCCTGTTTTCAGGCACGAAAATCACCATGACAGACCGTAGGAGCCGTTTGGGTATTGAGAGCATCGAAGCGACCGAATGCCTCAAGTCGTGGCTCGGCAAAGGCCGCAGAGTAGCTTTTGCGGATGATAACCTTGATGTTAGCTAAGAGACCTTGGTCTTGATCGGCCGTCAATCTGAGGCCATAGTTTTGCGGTCGTATTGATTGGCTGTATCAGTTTCGAGAGAGCCGAGAGAGTCACGTGAATATTATGGTCATATGTATTACCATATATTGTGGTCATATCATATGGGTCTCATATGATATGATGGAGGATCTGTCCATGCCATATATGATATGACCTCCAAATCTTTCATCATATATGGTAATATCACACTATTGGACACACTGCCGTACAGGAATGCACGCGTAACTAAGTTCAAAACATGACCGTAACAACGTATACGCCTGGCACGTACATCTGCTGCTTTCATGCTCGAGTCGAGATTCGGGTAAAAGTTTTGGAGGCATGTATCGTTGGTCGCGGCGTTGTCAGATACAACAACTCCGACCCGATCCCCCAGCCCCCACTCTCTGACGACTTCAAGAAGAGTGCAAACAAGATTCTCGCCACTATGACATCCTAACTGACGGCGTAGCGCAAGCAGGCGCATCTGATGACACCCTTGCCGATCGAGAAAGTGGGCGGTCACAGTCATAATAGCATAACGATTAGGCGACGTCCAACGGTCAAATCCCAGATGGATCTTGGTGAGCGCATGGCTGAGCTCTTGTTCAACAACGCTCTTTTTGGCATGGTAGACATCATTCAGATGTCGGCTCATTGATTGTCGGCTCCATGGTACCTGACTAGCAATTTGGGGATCGAGCTGCCAGACGAGTTGCTCAAAGTATGGATTCGTGAAGACAGAGAAGGGCAAATCAGCATCGACGATGAGGCCCACGCTGAGCTCCCGCACGATGTTGATCCTGGCTTTAGGCGCAGCGCTGTAGTGTAGACGTGGTCGTTTAGCTCGATCAGATTCATCGGTCGATGGGTCGCTGTCTGCGACGGGGCTACCCTCAAAAACTCTATGTGTTCTTTGTCTGTCAGGTTTCGTGTCGTCGGGCGCAAGAATAGCGTTGGGCATACTTGCGTAGGTGATCAGCGGCGGATGTAGTGGCACTCGCTGCGAAAAACACGGCCTGGCCCTTAATGTCGCAAAGCCGTCAAACCCTGCGCATATTCAGCGGTTTATCATTGGCATCAAGCTCGACAACAAACAGCCCATGGAGTTTGATCCAGCTCTTCCTGCCCTTGGAGCCTTTTCGCGATAAGGATTCCTCCAAGACATATCGCCTGTTCCGCCATACGGCCAGCGGCAGGTCCCCAATTGTCGCATTGTCCGGGACTGTGGCGACGGAGCCTGATTCAAATTGGCTCGATAGGTTTCTAGAGGTTTTCATCAGCGAAAACGCAGACGGCACCAGTGAGGTGTCCATTTCATAGCACTGGCATCTATCGTGTCAAAAGTGACAATTTGGATCAGTAAGTAAGGCACTATATGTCGCAGGTGTTACACACGCCCTAATGCGGTCGTGTGGCACGTGCGTACTGACAATTTGTGACTCGCCTTGTAAAGCTTAGACTAGATAGTAAATGTATACTATTTGTTTAAGAGGTGGTCAACTTTC